ATAACTGAGACTGCCAAAGAAAGAGACCTTTCGGAACTAAAGGACATGATGAAAGAATTGAAAGCAGAAATTTCAGAGATGAAAGAACAACAGACACAGATGTCTGCTCAGGTATATCAGTGTCAGTCATTTATACACCCCGATCCACAAAGCTATGAGGACAGACAACACCAGAGTGGCTCATGGAGAGGAAGAGGCAGAGATCCCAGACGTCGACAGGGTAGAGAGTGTGGACAAAAGGTTACTTGGAGGGGTGCACAGTCAGGGGATGCCCAACAGGGTGCGGCTGCGCCACAGTATCAGCCCCCCAGCCTACAGCAGTCTCAACCGACAGATGGACATATCACGTCACAGTGGAATAACACACAACCTCAAGGAAACACACCTATTTGCTACAGATGTGGATATCCAGGCCATTTAGCCTATGGTTGTCGTGTCTTATTGGATCATCAGAGGCGCCCTTTAAACTTGCCCGGGCCTATGGGGAGGGGCTACCATTAGGCAATTCTCAACGCCCCACACACAGGAAACTGCCTCAAGGATTAGTAGGAACTTCTAATGAAGTTGAAGTTTACATTGAGGACATTCCAGTGTGCGCCCTTCTTGATACTGGAGCCACTGTATCAATACTTTCTCAATCTTTTTATGAGAATCATCTTTCTCATATCCCATTAGTGTCTTTGGATAAGTTGCTAGATATTGAATGTGCTGGTGGTGAGCAACTCCAATATCAGGGAATTATCGAGGTTTCAGTTAGGACTCCTGGAGGTGGTGTTAAGGAGGACTCTGTATCTTGTCTGTTTCTTGTGGTATCTGACACCAGATACAATGCAAAGGTGCCAGTTTTACTGGGCACAAATGTGTTATCACATTTTCTTGAAACATGCCGAAACCAAAATGGAGATAGGTTTTTACAGAAGGCCAATTTGCATACCCCCTGGTACTTAGCATTCAGAAGTATTGTATTACATGAAAAGGAATTGGTGAGAAACCATGGGAAGCTTGCTTTGGTTAGGAATGCAGAACATAAAAGTGTTGTAATCCCTAGTAATAGCACCATAGTCATCAAGGGCCAAATGAGCAGAGGGTTAGCATATCCTCAGGTTTGTGCATTGCTACAACCAACCATCAGTTCTGCAGTACCACATGATCTTGACATTGCCCCAACTATCATCCAATACAACCCTCAAAGACAAGATACCATTGAAGTGCACATCTCAAATGTCACTACCAAGGCTGTCGTCATTCCGACTCGGGCTATTTTATGTGAGCTGCAACCGGTCACAATTCAAGATCTACCACCTGGTCGTCCCGTAGACTCTGACACATTGATTGATCAGATAGAGATGGATAAGGAGGGCCTAACACGTGATCAGATTGAGGAAGGATTAGACACCATACTCAAATTCAAGGACATCTTTTCCAAGGCAGATGATGACTTGGGTCACTCAACACAAGTTCGGCATCGGATTGAGCTCTATGACCACACGCCCTTTAAGCAGAGACATCGTCGTATTCCACCAGCTATGTTTGATGAAGTTAGAAGTCATTTACAGGAGTTGCTATCTGCAGGTGTAATAAGACACTCACACAGCCCCACGTTGGGCGCCAATGTAGCGGCCATAAAATTTCCGAGTCCCGTGATGGGATTCGAACCATGGACCTTCTGATCCGAGGTCGGACGCCTTGTCCACATGACCAAAGAGGTTAACCCCGTCAGCAAGCTGACAAGGTAAGGATGTCATCTGTGGGATGACTCCACGCCCTGCTACACATATGACTACCGGTGACCGACTTTTACAAACTGGCGTGTTCACTGTCAACAGTACGCGGGATTTTACGAGGGGACTTTCGTTGATTCAGGGGTCGTGTATACATAAATGTGACATGTAAGTAATCAGAAACATTCTGACAATCTTTGTGCTGTTATTTGTTGTTATATGATTCTTTGAGACCAACGGAAATAGTCAGAAATTCCGATAAATACCGTTGTCGTTGTGCGTGATTTTGCGTCAGTCATGGCGTCATACAGGATGGTAACTTTGACAATTTCTGTGCAATGCAATGTATCTGTTTTAAATTCCCTAATTCTTCCCACAATTCTCTTCCCATGCATATTCCGAAAATGTTGAGCCAATATCTTGAACGAATAGACGAATGGATAGCTCAAAATAGGAGAAAATGCTACACTGAGTAAAATCTGAATTTTGCTATGTTGCAGTTTTTCGAGCACAGCTTCGCTCTACACCTACCCTATTTTGCTTAAATTTCCTCTAGGCACTTTATATTGGTGACAAAGATCATAAGACATTTGATTCTAAAATGTATTAGCAATTCAAAAGATGTATGTATCGCAGCTAAGTTTGAAATATACTGATGTTACAGGCGTCCCATAACGGGTGTACCTGAAACGTGATTTTGTAAACACTATCCAATATCGCGGAAAGTTCACTTCGGCGTTCGTGTTTGGGTATTTTTCAAAACATTCGAAACGATTCTAGGGTTGGAATGATCATTGGTGATTTCATAAAAGTCAGAATAATACCCTTGGTCCCTGATATGCTATTTTGGAAATCCATTTCTCCGAGTAAATATCCGAAATTTACATTTCAAAACATGCTGTAAATAACGCCGTGACTGTTCATTTAATAATGTGTAAAAAATGGCGACATTTACGATGTACCTAATTTTGAGAGGTTATTTTCAGTACTTTTGCTTGGCCTAAAGTGTCAGTGGATGATATCACAGAACAGGAAATTTCCCACCTTATTCAAAACTGTGAAGTGTAACTGTGTAGGTGATGTATTTTCAAGTTTATTCGACTTCAAAGTGAGGGATTTAGAGGGTTGACAAATATGTCCCTCTGGCATCCAGGGCGTAATCTTATTTTTCCATATTCGACATTGCTCTAGACTTACAAAGTACAAGAATATTGAAACAAGCACTTGCAAATAAGTTTGTATTGTGTTTAAAAAATATATCGTCTCTTCTCATCGTTAATATTATGACTTACCGTCAATACTTGTGCCTGATCTTGAAAAACTACTTCTCACTACTGAGACCATGTTTTGAAATTGGTCACTGCTGTCATTGTCAGTATCGGACTCAACTCCTCCGCGAATTGCTTGGCGTGCTGTTGAGACAAGCTCCTGCACAAGTTGGGCATGGTTTGCCGCCATATTGGTACCGGAAGAATTTACGGATATGTAGCCAGACAGGAAGTATTTGAAGATATCTGTAAGTCATTTCCCGCCATTTTGGGGACTGGAATAATTCGTGTAATTCCTTCATATTACTAAATTAGATAACTGATATCAATAATTGATATAAAAATATCATTAAAATTATTAATGATATCTTTAATTGGATTTTTGATATCAGTAACGGTCAGAATTAATGATATCTTGAATTGAATTAAAGATATCTCTAATTGAAATAAAGATATCTCTAATTGAATTAAAGATATCTGTAATGCATTTGTGGATATGTATAACTTATTTCAAGATATCTTGAATTGAATTTAAGATATCTTGAATTTATTTCTAATATATTTATGTATAGTAGGGTGGTAATTGTTTAATGATATCTTAAATACATTTAGAGATATCACAAACTAATTTGTTGATATCACTGTAACATTTTAAGATATCAATAATTGTTTTATGGATATAAGAAATGAATTTAAGATATCTTTAATTATTTTTTGATATCTTAAAAACATTATTGATATCTTCAAATAAAATACCGATATCTTTAAAAGAATTGAAGATATCTGTAATTACGTAATAAATGTGAAAACGGCTTGCCATACGGTCACGAGAGGACCATTTGAAGGGAAAATAGTGAAGTATCTTTTGGCACATTATTTCTATTCTAATAGCTAAAGTGTGGTAACACTAGACTTATTGATTATAACATTTTTTGGCTTTGAAAAATGCTATTGCATGGCACACGAATGCTTTTTGTGTTCGGTTCGTCATGGCATCTTTTATCATAAGAACAACACGTCTACATGTAGGACATATGTAGGATTGTACAGAATTTCACTCAAATGTGTGCGTGTTAAACAATTTGACATGACAATGTGATCATGAATTCCGTGTCAATTATCTATGTTGTTATTGTCAGCAGCTGGGAATCCCCGTGACGTCATTGGGAAACACCCGCTTTTTTTATCTCTAACACAAATGAGTTCTCTGTCAGAGTTACGATAGGTATCGTAGCTCTGAACGATCTGCGACAGGTTTACGATAGTTTCGAAAATCTATCTTATCTTAACCTTAAGATATCTTATCTTTGAACGTAAGTTGTTAAGATTTATCTTAGCTGAGATCGTTTCGAAAATCTAGGCCCTGGGCCCCGATCCACAAAGCCTTCGTAACTTACACATATCGTAAGAGTTTACGATTGAAATTAAGATAATTTTACTAATATTTACGACCGATCCACAAAGCGTTCTTAATCCGTTCGTAAATTCCTCGTCTTACGATCATTGTCGTAAATTAAGATTGTCGCTCTCCTGTGATGGAGGTAAGAATATAGGGGGATTTCCCCAATGACGTCATTAATTTACAGGGGAATCCCTTCACTCTGTTAGCAGACGACGCCAGTCGTATTATCAACCGATCATGGATTCTAGTCAGCCATTGACATTGAAACGCCCAAAGAGTAAGAACTGGACTAACAGTGAGTTAGCCCTTCTTATAGAGGGTGTTCAGTCGAAGAAAAACGTGTTGTTTTCGTCGTTTAGCAACAATTTGACGAACAACATGGATAAGAAAGCATGGGATGACATTTCAGAGGTGAGTGATTTAATGAAATAGTGTGTGTGTGTGGAAGGGTGGGGGTGGGGGTGGGGGTGGGGGAGGGTCATATGTCTGGTATAAACTGGAGTACAAATATGTAAATAATGATCACGTAAAACATCGATGTTTTATGTTGAATATTGCAGGGCGAGGAAAGCGTTCTGACGGTAAATATCTGTAGGCTATCTCACCCACCTGTCAACAGGGTACGTGTTACCTCATCAACCCGTCTTTGGTAATAACTTGATGCAAAGGATAGACATAAGCTGGAACTAGCGCTGCAGTGTCACGGTCAGCCATTTTGACACTTAGAAAGGGACACCACTCTATCCGTATTTTAGACGAAAAGTACAGGTAATTGTGATCATGTAAGATAAAAGATGAAGTATAAACTTAAAGTTGATTTTGAAATTTGATTAATAGTTCCGTTAATAACCATAATTTTTGTAGATTTTGCCTTTTTTCATTGCAGAGAAATTGGTAAATTGGAACTACATGTATCTTATTACTTACAGACACTACCCCAGCAACTCCAGTTTTTCCAGAGACTCTTCAAGCCCTGCAGGATTTGCCTTATGATGGGACCTTTGTACCACCTACATACATGTACTCAGAGAGTGTGATGTCAGCAGATGATGTTCCTCAAGGTATTACCATATACATAATGGAAATACTGCACAATAAATTTAATACAACTTTTAAGTGTTCTGGGTGGGGAGAGATTTGCAATTGTGATAGTTTATTGCAGGTATGCCTACCACAAGATAAGATGAAATCATGTATACAACATCACAGGTCTTAGAAATACAGTTCATGGATTTTAATTGTATGCCTGACACTCCAATCTCTGTATGTGTTTATGTATTATGAATCATAGGGAGAGAGGTGTTTACTTAATAGTAAAAACGTCATTACTTCCTTATTTAACTCAGAATTCCGTATTCCTGTGGATATGTTTTAAATACAACATTCACATGTCTCAGTTAAATGATTTGTTTCTTTAATACAGTTGATGCAGTTTCACATGTTAAGGCCACAAAGACTCTCAGTGGTATGTACAGCAATACATCAAATTTGAAATTTGAAAAGATAAAAAGAGAAAAAATGTAATTTACTCAAGAAACCCTGATTTTTGTTTTGATAAAGTTTGTATACAGATGGACGAGACATAACTGTTGCTGTGAGACTTGTGTTATGTAAAATGAAAATTTCTTTCAGACAAAGATAACATTCTGAACATAGAGAGGGAGAAACTGATTGTGCTGAAAGAGCTTCTTGAGGTAAAAAAAAAAAGAGACTACATGTGGAAGAACAGAAATTGGCCAACATCATTTCTCTGGAAGCTGGCCACCCTGGCCAACTGAATGTATCACCAGCTATTCAGGTCCTTTAAACTTTGATTAATTTTCCCAAATATAAAAATTTATACTGATAATGTAGCTTCTGTTGTCATATATCATCGGTTACAAAAAGTCTTTTGTCTTAATCATACAATCATTTAGAGAAACAGTTATTGGCGAAGCTTGTCGGACTTTGTGGCCTTTATTGAGAGGTAAGGTCACAGGTAAGCTATCCCATCTTCTTGGATCAGGTCTTCTTGTGTAGGAGGAGCTGGCAATCTGAGGCTGATGCAGAAGTTATGCAGCTGACAGGTTGCATACACAACTTGAAAGCATTTTTTTGGGGGGGGTGGGAGTGGGGGGGGGGGGGGGTGAACGGCAGGCAGCCACCTGATTTATGTAGGCACCTAATAATGTATATAAACACAAACATTACCCTTTGTTCAGAATGCAGATAAGATAGACTAGTCGCATTATTATGTGTAAAACTTGAAATATTCTAAAAAGACCATATCTCTGATTTACTTTAAAGTATGAGTATTATCTTAAAGCATAACATCATAATCTGTCATTAGCACAAATATATGCCCTACTAATGTCTCAAATATTGAAAAATGATATATATACTTGAGTAGAATAAGGGATGAACATATACATGCCTGAACCTGGATTTAAGGAGTCCAAAAGCCCTCTCCACAGTGTTGCGTGTTCTGCAGTGTGCAGTGTTGTAACATTCCTCAGACGGTGTTGTAGGGTTAACTATTGGCGTAAGCAGCCATGGGCGACATGCATATCTGATGGAAAAAGTGTACTTCTGTTAAACATACTGACCATACCATTAAATATTGAAAGAAAACTTAAAATACCAGCTTATATACTTCACTTCAAATGTTATTTCATTTAGTGACAATTTTATTGGTGTCAGTTTACATTGTGAAATTTGGGTTTAAGTACACTTTCACTCAAAGCTAGATTTTATGGGCGCTGCTTTCAATTTATGATCAATATATTTTAAAGTGACTAATATGAAATAAACATTGGAATCTGAAAATCACATTATGATTACAGTATGGTCTTCTGTGTGCCAAGTTACAAAATATCAATTTCTTGTTTATATGTTTTCATATGTCTGTAGTCAACAATACAACTTATATTTACACAAATGATTTGCTGTTACCCTGAATCGCCTAGCAGCCATCCGTCATTCCCAGCAGTCTCCATATACTGCCCAATCTTGCTGTTTTGTAGCATGAACGAATCATCAGTTGAACCAGGCCACTTGGAAACCACACTTGAAAACCTTTTGATTATATATATATATAATTCTTCCATCAGCCATGCATTCATAAATCGATATTAAAGTTATTTTCTCAAGTCCCTGTGTGTGTGTGTGTGTGTGTGTGTGTGTGTGATAGTCCAACTGGTCGTTTACAGTTTTCTTTATTCTTTCTTTATTCAGCAGTGAGCATTGCTTTAAGTACTAAAACAATCGTCCTTTATCACAATGGTAATTCCACACGGTAATAGAAACCTGTATTAGACCTCATGACAAAACCCATGTTGGGCTTTACGTAATGATTGGTCAACAAAATGAGTAGGTGGCACCACTAGTCATTGTCAAGGTCATTAAAGAGAGTAAACAAGGTGTGTATCCTTCGATGTTTCCCTGAATAATGTTGTTATTACGTCTGTATACGACTGATTGATTCATACTGACCCTAACATTTGTTAAATAAGGATGTTGCTGGGTGTTGTTAACGTCTGTAAAGTGTGATGTACCTTAGTTCTGCGTCACAGACAGCTTGAACGTTTACGGCATGGAAGCCCGTCCTGCAAACGTAAACCGCTTCTTCATCCCCGGTGGGTCGCATGATAGGTATGAGGGTGCCATCTATACAACCAAGCACTTTTGGAAATCTACTAATGTTATAAAATGCTTCCTTCGTGACACGTTGGTCGGATGTTGCCTTTGGGAACGAAATCAGTTTTAGTTGTTTGACAATGTCTTCATTTGTACGGGTAGACACCCGTGACAGTGGACTTGGATACCTCATGCAAGTCTGCTAGTTCAGTGAAGAACGATCCCTTACCATAAAATCTGAGGGCAATCAAAACCTGTGTTTCCGGGGACAATGCATGGGAACGCTCTGTTTGGGAAGCAAGAAATGGTTTTAGTGAGTCTATAAGTTCAAATATGGCATGACGTGGTAGCCGGTAGCGCCGGATTATGCTATCATCATCGAGCGTGTCAAGTACTCTACTTCGGTCTCGAAACACCCTTGGTCGTGACCGTGTTGCCTTTTCTTCTAATAAGCCAAGCAAAAAATATGCCGCCATCTTGATGCTAAAGTTACGACAGAAATGCTTGATTTACGATAGGTACTGACCACTCATAATTTTTCTCTAAACTTTACGAGATATTTTCACTAAGATAGCTTTGTGGATCTCTTAAGATTTTGTCATAAAGTTACGATGTTCGTAGCGCTACGGAGGCTTTGTGGATCGTGGCCCTGTATTCTAAAGGTAGGCCCATTTAAGTACCTAATTTTCAGAGGTCGTTTTTAGTACCTTTGCTTGGCCTAAAATGCCAGTGGATGATATCACAGAACAGGGAATCCCCACCTTATTCAAAACTGTGAAGTGTATTAGTGTGCATGATGTACAGTAAACTAAGGTTATAACGAACTCAAAGGGACTAGTAATTTTAGTTCGTTATAACCTTAATTCGTTATAAGCATATATACAGCATAACTACAGCATATAGTCGGGACTAAAAAATTATTTCGTTATATCCGTTAGTTCGTTATATGCGTGTTCGTTATAACCGTAGTTTACTGTATTTTGAATTTTATTCGACTTCGACTGTTGCTAGGATTTTGGAGTTCTAACCCTTCACTCTATTACTTTTCTTTCTTGACAATTTATTAAAGTTCACTGATCTTGTTTCAGCATTAGTGCAAACAGTGGTGTCAAGAGACTGACCAAAGATGTTAAAAAGAAGTGGATGGACAACAAGTACGAGGGGTGTCCCATAAGTTTCCGGCCTCCATAAGTAATTTGCGATTTACATAAAAACTGTTTTACTTATTTTTCAACATAATCTCCCTTGACCTCAATGCACTTGTTCCACCGTTTCTCCAGCATATTTAACCCGTCAGAAAACCACTGTTTGTCACGTGACCCTAAAAACTATACAGCAGTGATGACCTCTTCATTTGTCACAAATCTTCGGCCCCTGAGTACAGATTTGAGTTGAGGGAAGAGGAAGAAGTCAAAGGGGGCCAGATCTGGAGAATAGGCAGGGTGAGGCAGGATCTTGAAGCCACATTCATGTGCAGCGCTCACTGCTACTTGGGCGGTGTGAACTGGTGCGTTGTCCCGGAGGAGCCAGACACCTCGGCTTAGTTAACCTCTGCGCTTTGCTTTGATTTCATTACGCAATCTGCGCAATTCATCTGCATAATATGCACCGTTAATGGTGGAACCCTTCTGTAGATAATCTATTATCGGAGTCCCAGAAAACGGACGCCATGACCTTGCCACTGGAAGATGTGCTTTTGTACTTTTTGGGTGTTGGTGACGTCACATGCTTCCATTTCATGCTCTGACTTTTTGTCTCTGGGTCAAAAATGAAGAACCCAGGTTTTTATCCTGAGTAACAATATGAGCCATGAAAGCACGTGGATCTCTCCGAAAATCTTCCAGAAGCTGTTGACTAATCATGACCCTCTGACGTTTTTGTTCTTCAGTCAACATTCTGGGCACCCAACGGGCAGACACCTTGTTCATGTGTAAATGTTCATGGATTATTCGTTCCACTGATGTTTTACTCATGTCATGTGCAGTAGCTAACTGTCTAACAGTTACTCGTCTGTCCTGCATTATTGTATCAAGAACAGCTGCAACTTCATCTTGGGTAGTCACTTCACATGGCGACCAGACCGTGGTTCGTCTTCAGTGCTGTGCCTGTCCCTTGTAAATTCAGCACACCACTGTTTGACCGTACTATACGAAGGAGCATTGTCACCTAATGTTTGTACCATGTCATCATGAATTTGCTTTGGCGTTAAGATTTTTAAATGTAGATACTTGATAACGACTCTACATTCGGTCTTCTCCATTTTTTCCAAATGTTAGGGGATCATGCTGTTTGATAGCAATTTATAGGAACTTGTAGCACGTGGGATTCATGTTTTGCATGTCATCCACGTGCAGAGATACTGTTCTAGCAACAGGTGCAGTTTGGTTGAGTTTGGGTTATCCGTTCATGTTGAGGCCGGAAACTTATGGGACACCTCTCGTATGTGTATACACACAGAACAATTTTGAGCATAATATCATTTTATGTAAACAAATACTCATTGCATGGTATAAAACATGTGCTTGTCCTGACATATATGTTCAGTGAAACATTCATATGTAGCTGTTAACAAATATAGAGAAAAATTGTTTATACTGGTACTTAACATTTTTGGAGATAATCCGAGGTGTTTGCTTATTTATACATTTTGTTCCATCGGGAGTCAAACAAGGAAAAAAGAAGCTGAAAATTTCTGACGTGAAATCATTGATGCGTTATTCGTGTTTTCGAAGTGTCAATTTGAATCACACAGTTTAACAAAATGAAATGTCAGTGTTTGAACGTAAAGCAGACTAATTGTTTGGCAAAATATGTATTGCAAAGTATGCCGCAATCTTGGAAGAAGATAAAATAACTTACGACAGGTATGGGGTTATCTTAGATTTACGACAGACTTAAAGGGCAAGTTCACACGAAAATAAACCAATTTTTCTTGTACTTTTTCATCATGAAAAGTATTTACCTAGTAGTTTCGGAGGCAAAACAATTAAAATATCACACGTATCAAATTTATTTTATTCATAAAATCGGTTCATATTTTTCACATTTACAGAGAGTTCTATTTCCACAATAAACACACCATGGCTTATGCCCCTTGCAATATGACGTCATTGGTGCCAATTGATAAAGGA